CTTTCCCCACAATTCTCCCAGTTTTTCTCAAAACATGATGAAGGACAAAAAGAAGGCCAACAAGCCAACATTTTCATAATAGCAGTTTAAAAATATAGAAGTTATTTTTTTCCTACTGAATGGTTAATATAATTTCTAGCTTGCATTTCCTTAGCATACTATATGTAAAAACCGTAACATTAGAGAAGGTTCTTTCATTTAACGACAACAAAAGTATAAAGCAGTACCTCCGGAGCTATATCCTGCATTAAATAGACCTTAATTCCTAAATTGATGTGCATTTCCAACATCTATTTTCTGCTGAGGACTTAGTGATTATCTCAATAATTTAATTCACAGAGAAATACTTAGGGAAAAAAAAAAGAGATATACTGCTTACCCAAGCACCCCACAGTCAAAATATGTAAATTACTTTATTAAAGAGGTACATTAAAAAATTTTACCAATAATGCATTATGATTCAAAAAGTGCAAGATGAAAAACAGGACTCTGACATGCTAAAAATGTATCAACTTGTTACATGACCTGTAGTTTTAAACTATTTAACTGCAATTAAAAAAAAAAAGATACTACTCAATTTGTTGTATCAGGAAGTTACCTGAATAAGGATGAACAGGAAAACAATGCACATATAAAAAGAATGTCCCTGTACAAGAGTTATATGACTGCCCTTCCAACATGGCTCCCAAAATTGCAGGGAATTACTAGCTAAATCGAGATCTATCTGCAAAATAACTCAGATTATTATGGAAACAATGCATTTCATCTTTTTATACAATGGCTTGAAGGATTTCCCGTGGTACTTTTAACAACAGTACTTTTCATATTACTTCCAATAGCCAAAAAGTTGGCTCTCTTCTTGCATCATATAACCCCAAGGAATTACCTACGTATTTATAAAATTACATAGGTAAAAAAGTACTCAGTATTCCCAGCATACCTCAGTGATTTAACCAGCAAATTTGCTGCCCAAAAGACAAGTTCCCCACATACACACACTTATTCCTTCAAATCACTTTTCACTCCAAGAGCTTGCTTTCCTAATGTACGATACCACATAATGAAGAGTAAGTGATAGCAAGGGAACAGGCAACATACGAGAATTTCCTCTGAACTTTGATGGAAGAAAGGATGACTACTCAGCCTCACTGTAGGAATAGGCTAGAACCTGAGCAGTTTGGTTTAATAGCACTTCTTTTGCTCCAAGTCCCACTTACAATCTGCATCAAGATCACTAAATCTACCAACTATAGTTACAGCCATCAAACTTGTCTCTGTTAGCTGTTCTAGAGAAAGAACTGTTGCTTAACCTGTAGAAACTGGGGGGAGGAGGGGAGAAAGGAATAATCCTGCTGTAGGTTTTCATGTCCTGTATATGTGAAACCAGAAGAATTTGAGAACATCATTTACTAAAGCTCTACATCTGTTCTCTACTCCTTTGTGGCTCTTTAAATTCCTGGCAACTCACAGCACCTCTTAACAAATAACTTTTGAAAATGAGCCTGACAGATGAATGAAGGTATTCTGATGCTTTGTTTTGTTGGGGGGGTTGGGGTGGCTTTGTTTTGGTTGGTTCGTTTTTGATTCAGGTTGTGTTTTTAAGGCAGTATCTCATATGAAAATATGGACCCACTTCAGCAGAATGACAAGCACCATTAAAAGCCAATACTTCTTGCTCTCATCCGTATTAGTAAGAGATATTCTAGCAGTGCCCTCCCACACTTGGCAGTCTGCCTTGCAGCTGTATTAAAGGCATAAAATTTCACATGTCAGTGAAAGATTCTGTGTTGCAGCTATACATATCTTAATACTGCCGAGTTTCATAAGTGACCAACAGAAATGCACTTGGAAGAATATATTCAATATATGCAGAAATGCACCTGGAAGAATATATTCACAAGTTTAAGAGAAAGGCTCAGCCAGCTGATAGCAGGTGGAAAACAGCATGCAATTCACCTGGCGATTCTATGCCATACACGTTACATTCAGATGAAATACAAAAGTCACAAGAAAGTCAGTTAGGAAGACTCATTCCTCCTATGGCAAATACTGCAAACATGTTAACTTGCAGTCCCACCAATAGGGAGTACATTCTCTAGCAAGAAAATCATTAAAAAAAAAAAAAAAAAAAAAAAGAAGAAGAAAATTAAGAAAATAAGAAAAGAAAGATAAAAGCATACAACACAGACATGAGTGTGCTACATATGTTGTCAACATTGTAACTATAATACTCCCATTTCACTGACTTGTCTCGGTACAGCAAGAATTAAGCCCATTCTGGAATAGGTAGAATCCCAATCCCTCTTTGGAGAGGCATCTCAATATCAAAATGAATCATACGAACCT